TTTGCAGAACCGGTAGGTTCCATCAGGCTTCGGTACTAAAAGTACAGGAGAAGACCAGTTACTGTTACTCACTTCAATAATGTCGTGGTCCAACATAAACGGGACCTCTTGACGGATAACAGCTAACTTCTTCGTGTTAACTCTATATGGGTGCTGTTTCAGTGGAACCGAGTCGCCGACATCGCCAACTCGGGCTTACGTATTGTATGACACACCGCAAGGGTGGCCAAACTACTGCCGGTGAGGTTTTCGTCATGGCCTAGGTAGACTGCTAGGTTGAACAATCTACCAACTGCCGGTTAGGTTTTCGTCATGGCCTAGGTAGACTGCTAGATTGAACAATCCACCAACTGCCGTTGATGCTTGTGGTCACAGCCTAGGTAGAGGATGACTCTGCTAACAGTTGAGCACTCTATCTACTGCGGGAGATGCTGAATTGAGACTGATTCTGCTAAACAGATGATGTCAACTTGTATCTGTCGCCCACAATCACGGACACGGATGTCTCTCAGAATCCACGCGTGCTTCACGACACGCTTCACTGGTTCAGACATCTGTGTTGACCATACAACCGTGTGTGGCTGCTAAACAACGCTGGCTCAGGTTACCGTCCATACGATCTGACAGCTGGATACAATTTAGCACCGCACAGACTTCACATAGTCAGGGTTACAGCTGCCCAACGATATTCTCTTGGTCTCAGAGTTAAACCACGTTTTCTCGGTTGATTACTAGTCGGTTGACATCTGGTTACCCAACCGACTGTCTGATCTCCGTCCAGTTCTCCCTACGCTATATACAGTACTAAGATCTAAGCCACTGTACACACTAGCGAGAATAGACCTAACTTGATGTGTAGACAACGCGACACGTAAACATAATAATTATGAATGAAATTTCATCAACCGAGCTGTAACAGTACTCAAATTATCGTGTTCACAGACATACAAACACACACACACACACACACTCAATTGCAAAACTATGTGTTTCCGACTCAGGGAGGTGTAAAACGTCGAGATTTGCGAAAATCTCTCTTCCGATTTTTTTGCACGATTACAATACTTCCTCTATACTTCGTATGCGAGAAAGTAAAAAAGCTGTGGCCATTAGCCCACCACCTTTACAAAGCTGAGCGAGCCATGAGCCCCCAATTATATGTTGTGAACACACGGACACGCCTTTCGGGTGATCCGATGCGTAGCGCAACACATAAGACAAACAACCACAAACGGTTTACAAACAAGACTAAATTAAACAAAGGCTCGTTGAAACAAAAAGAATTAAATAATATCTATACTATCTACACCTAACAAAGTATATTTTAAACACAAAACACACAAGCTAGTAAAACTATGATACAGTGGCTAATGGTAACTAGCATAGACCTAACCTATGCTAACCTTGGAGATCTGGACGAAACTGAGGCAATCACACACGTTTTCACACACCTTATATACCCTTTCATAAACTCGTACAAACCGGACTATAACATGAGAACTAAACAAGGACGAATGGGGTAGGGTACCAAGTAACAGCAAGATTCACTACAGGGGTGCGACTCAGCTTCTCTGTTAAACAAACGTACCTAGTGGAATAAGACAGAGAGGAAAAACTGCGAACACGAGAGAAAAAAAAACGGAGATTGGAGAAGGAAGAGAAGAAATTGAAAAAGAAAAGTCAAGCGATTGAGGTCAATTACTACTATCTTTGTGGGTCCGCACACAATGTATACGATCTAACTGTCAAACAAGAAGATATAGGCCTACTTGTACTCGGCTGATAGTAGAGAATGCCACGGTGGAGCAACTGAAAAGCATGACACAGTTAGAACCTGAACCAGTGGCGGAACTAGAAAAAGAGGGCTACCCCGCAAAAAAAAAATGTGGGCCCCCATATATATATATATATATATATATATATATATATATATATATATATATATTAAGGTCGGCTGTGGGCCCCTAAACTGCCTGGGCCCCCCTGCATTGCGGGGTCTGGCGGCACTGTAGTTCCGCCCCTGACCTGAACCAACACCCCATTCTTTAAACGACACACCAAGCCCGCCCCAGGTAAAACATATCGAGAATCTTGTTGGTACGCAAAGCCTTAAAAGTTGTAAGGTTAAAATACTTCACCTGTTATGACTAACTAACTGTTAACCAGCACATAAACCAAACCTTATCAGTACCTGGCCAGTCGATAGCTACTAAGGGGTCATCCATAACTGACATAAAGCTTTTATGACGACCCCCCCCCCCTGACACACATACCTCCGACACGAAAGCCAAAAAAAGTCAGACCCCCCCCCCCCCAACCCTAAATTGGCGTCAAGCATTAATGGACGACCCCTAATAGCTTTGCTTGCAGTGATAACGTTTATGTGGCAGGGACAAGACTGATATTGCTGTGCTAGAATCCAATAAATAATCCCGTCCTTAGCTTAACAGCTTGCATTCTCCTTAAAAAAACCACAGATAAGCGTAGGCTTGATTGCATGTTAAACAATAACACAGTGAAGATAACAAACTCATCGCGATTTATTTATAATTGTACTTAACTAAATGTTTTATAAAATACCACCCCAAGAAGGAAGTCACAACATATAACTCTCCTAGGGGGCGGGTAAATATTAGCCAACTCTTTTAGGCGCACGTTATAAATTACGTAACTAAAGTTAAGAGTGTTAGACCTTTTTATAACAGTATAAAATCGTGTGTGGGTAAAATCGTCTCTTTGACTTTTTTACTTTCTCGTATATACGAAGTATAGAGAAAGTCTTGTAATCGTGCAAAAAAAAAATCGAGATTTTTGCAAATCTCGACGTTTTACATCTCACTGATACGGAAAAACATAATTTTGCAATCTTGTCCGTATGTCTGTGTGTGTGTGTGTGTGTGTGTGTGAGTGTGTATGTGTGTAAACACGATAACTTGAGTACCGTTACAGCTAGGTTGATGAAATTTCATATATAAGTATTTTATCAAAATCGTAGATCCGTATCAACTTTTGAGCGATTTCCGATAACCGGAAGTGGTACTTTTTCTACTTTGAATTTATCAAAAGCCTATAACTTGAGTACTATTTCAGATAGATGAATGAAATTTGATATGTAAGTAAAAGATCTAATTCTCTACCTACTGTCAAATTTTGAGTAATTTCCGTTGAACGGAAGTACTTATTTACGCTATTTCCGATTTCTCAAAAAACGCATGTAAATTTATAAAGTACTAATAATATTGCGCACTATTATGCACATCTTTATTTAGCGTTCACTTGGTGTGCATTTCTTTTTTCTACGAGATTATATTCTATTTTTAAAAAAAATTGAGTAATTAAAATGGATTAAAAATCATGTCTAGAAGTCTATATCCCGAGTTGCCATCCCCGTAGTGTTATATTAGAATATTCGAGAAAGTTTAGGGGAGATCACTCCCGGTTTATTATAGACAACTTTGTCCTGGTGGATTAATAATGTATTATAGTTAAGAAAGCCATTAGGAACATAGAAGACACGTTTGTTATTCATAGGCCATAAAAAAAGAGACGTTACCAAACAGAAAACTGCCACTTAGCAGATCATAAATGTTTGGCGGCTGTAGAGATTTAATAATGTATTGTTGATATAAAATACATATGGAATTCGTCGAATTAGTTCAAGTTCACATTGCTGACGATGTTCGAGTAAGTTTAAAAGTTTAAAAGTTGACATGTTTGAATAACTTAACTTAATACTTGTGCACACACATGAATACATTTACCTCATAATGATAAAAAAAAACTAAAAATAAACGGCGTATTCCCTATCACAATAACAGGCAAAACAAAGTGGATAATATATTGCCTGACAGTGCAATAAAATCTTGGTGAAAAGTCGCAACTAGTCCCCACCAACACGTATTAGAAATTTGATTCCTCAATTAACAATAAAAATTTGAAAAAATAGTTAAATTTAAGGTCTAGAAAATTTTTTAAAAAAGTACAAATGTGTTTACTATATTTTATTCTGGTTTTCCCAGTTAGTCGCTGCTCTCTTATTCTCTCACTAGCTCGCTATATATATATATATATAAATATATATATATATATATATATATATATATATATATATATATATATATATATATATATATGTATCATATAACGTGTTTGTTTAATATGTGAATATGAATTTTTATATCCTTTAGCAGTGTTTCTTCCAGACTTTTTTCTTCGGGGGGGGGGGGGGGCAGACTTTCTTCGGGGGGGGCGGACACTGTTAAAAGTATATATTATCTATTTAAATTATAATTTCATTTCGTTCGGGGGGGGGGGGGGGCGGTAAAAACGAAGAGATGCCTGAAAGAAACTCTGTCCTTTAGTCTGGATGAATTAAAATATTTTGAAACTATGTAGATTTGGGCTAAACCAAGACCTTTATTTTTTAACGTATGGGAAAACGAGTTCCTTAACGATCAAAGAGATTTATCTAACCTCTGAATCAAATTATTATCGCTTTAACATAATCCATTGCAAAGTACATGCATTATGAGTTTTATACAATATCAATGGCCTTTAACTACTTATCCCACCAATCGCATGAACATTTATAATATCGGTAATCGTAATAAAGAATACTTTGTATAATAAATACAATACTCCCACCACATACACGATTTTTTGTAAAATACTCATTAGAAACAAAAATTGCACTATATATATATATATATATATATATATATATATATATATATATATATATATATATATAATTGTACACATGTTTACTAATGCACATCATTTAGCAAATTAAATGATTTTTTTCAACCAATAATCAGATACTATAATACACCGTGCTAAGTTATTTCGGAAGCCCAAATAATCCGTTGTCTGTAGAACATTTTCTGGGGAAAAGCAATCCGTCTCGCATGACGTAGGTTCTATTTATAAAGTTTTGAAGCAAAACTATCCGGGTATTTCACATTCGTATCTCTTAAAAGCTGGTACAGAGCCTAAACGATTGCAGTTATCAGTGTTTTAAAATTCCTACAAGGTAAGTGTTATACTTTGTTTTATGTTGTAATTAGAGAACAGGTTTTTTGTTTTACAATATGTTGCTAAGTTTACAATATGTAAACAACACTCAAAATCAAATCGATATGCTTTTTTTTTTTAAATTGTATAATTTAATTATTTTTTTTACTTGAGGAAACACGCGAATGGATTCGACGCAAGATTTGTCAAAAGGTATTTTACACAAACACTCTCACACACAAAGGGGTGGATTGGCTGTGTCCAAAGAGGCCCCCAATCCCACATTAAAATTTTCATTCTGCATTGTCCACCTTCAAAGCTTGATAATCATCTTCAGGTTGAAGAAAATTCGCGCGACAAATATTTTATTTAAACATCACAGCACTAATAGGACTAGTACAGCGACGTTTCTGATGGCCCACCGGGATTTTAAAAATTTGGGAACCGATCAGAATTTTACCCGGTAGACGGGCGGGCCAGTCAACCCCTGCACACACATAAATGTGATTGCTGTTGAGTATGTGCGTGTGTTAATGCGTGCAAAATAATAAAAGAGAGCAATGGCAACAAAAATTAATTAACGGAACGAAAAAATAATAGATGTCATGAACAAAAACATATTTCTACAAATTATGTTTGCTGTCATGTCCAATCAAATTTACATTGTTTTATTTTCTTAGAGAATCGTCATCAATCGGATCAACAACAGCCATTTGAAAATGCCACGGTGTCTGAAATACACGGAAATCCATCCCAGGAAATCGAGATAGGTATTCCGCTGCTTGTACGTGTACGTGTACGTGTGGGTGAGTGCGCGTGTCTAGTTATAGCTCTAGTTGTTGAGTTGTAGTTCTGGTTGTAGTTGTAGTTCTGGTTGTAGTTGTAGTTGTAGTTGTAGTTCTGGTTGTAGTTGTAGTTGTAGTTGTAGTTGTAGTTGTAGTTGTAGTTGTAGTTGTAGTTGCAGCTGCAGCTGCAGCTGCAGCTTTAGTTTAGCTTTAGCTTTAGCTTTAGCTTTAGCTTTAGCTTTAGCTTTAGCTTTAGCTTTAGCTTTAGCTTTAGCTTTAGCTTTAGCTTTAGCTTTAGCTTTAGCTTAGCTTTAGCTTTAGCTTTAGCTTTAGCTTTAGCTTTAGCTTTAGCTTTAGCTTTAGCTTTAGCTTTAGCTTTAGCTTTAGCTTTAGCTTTAGCTTTAGCTTTAGCTTTAGCTTTAGCTTTAGCTTTAGCTTTAGCTTTAGCTTTAGTTTTAGTTTTAGCTTTAGTTTTAGTTTTAGTTTTAGTTTTAGTTTTAGTTTTAGTTTTAGTTTTAGTTTTAGTTTTAGTTTTAGGTGTGGGTGTGGGTGTGTGTGTGTGTGTGTGGGTGTAGGTGTAGGTGTAGGTGTACGTGTAGGTGTAGGTGTAAGTGTAGGTGTAGGTGTAGGTGTAGGTGTAGGTGTAGGTGTTGTAGTTGTATTTAGAGTTTTAGTTTTAGTTTTAGGTGTAGGTGTAGGTGTAGGTGTAGGTGTAGGTGTAGGTGTAGGTGTAGGTGTAGGTGTAGGTGTAGGTGTAGGTGTAGGTGTAGGTGTAGGTGTAGGTGTAGGTGTAGGTGTAGGTGTAGGTGTAGGTGTAGGTGTAGGTGTAGGTGTAGGTGTAGGTGTAGGTGTAGGTGTAGGTGTAGGTTTGACGAATTTAGCTATTTATTTTGTGAAATAAAAAGTTTTAATAATACAGAACTGATTGTAGGCTATCTTTTTTTACAATCTTTTATATAACTTGCTTCCTCTGTCTGTCTTAATCACTCCTGTCTAGATTGAATCAACAATAACTATAACGAAAAGCGTGGGTCTCTTCCTAAATATTAGTAAAGGTATCTACTAAATAATAATAATAGTAACCCACGCTTTTCTTTACAGTTATTTAAATAGTAGTGTATTATATTTTTTAAGAAAATAAATTATTTTCCACTTTTTAGTGTATAATTACATAAAAGCGTGTTATTAAAATGGTTTTTATGCAATTATTTTTTGCAGTGTTAAGTGAGTATTGTACAAAACTTTAATGAAATATCGCAAGTACTTTTTGCGATAAATGTTCCTAACCAGTACTATTTTGATGAAAAGTGACAATTTAATGAAATCAAGAAATAGTGAAAATAAGTTTTTTTTAGAAAAACAAGAAATAGTTGAAACTATACATACTAAAAATAGACCAAATATAGTACGTTTTTAAACCCTTTTTCTGTCGTCACAAGCCGACAATGAAGACTACAATGCTAGAGTGAATAAGCAGGCAATGCAAAATTTAGTTAATCGTGGAAGTTAAACTATACTCCCAGAGATCAAAGGACATGGACAAATCTGGTAAAATGTCTCACAAGAGCAAAAATAACATCAGCTATTGCGCGCTCACATTGCCTACAATCAAATAAAATTATAATAATTTCCCTTAGCTGGTAATACCTTTTGATAAGTGTTACAATGTATTGAATAGCCTGTTTAATTTTCTTTTAGATTCAGAGAATGACTCAATAGTAGTGTTAAACTCTATGAGTGATGTGAAACATGCTATCAAAGACATTTTCTGTAACGTTGTGGATCCAGAAAAATTTCTGCATGTGCTGAGGAAACACAGACAGATCTTTAGCCGGCATGAAGAGGTGAGATGCGATTAACAATTTTTTGTGTGTGTATTTATTGATGTTATTTGTAACAAAAAATCAATACTTTTTTACTTTCTCATATACAGAGTATAGATAAAATATTGTAATCATGCACAAAATTCACCTGAAGTTTTGACAGTTTTCACAGCTTTACACCTAAGTCCTTCATCACATCCGGAGTATAGAGGACTTATTTTAATCGGGCAAAAATTATAAATTCAGATATATCTAAATCTGGCGTTTAATGCGTAATCCTGTCGGAAAAACTGGACTTTGCAATTCTGTCCGTATGTCTGTGTGAGTGTATGTGTGTGTGTGGACACGATAACTTGACAACCGTTTTTGTTCCAATTGCAGGAGAACATACTTCATCAAACTCAAACAGTTGGGAAAAAAGAAGGTGCTTTCGCTATATTAGACAAATTAATTTTACTTGGCGACTATTTGAAGTTATTAATCGATGTTCTGTCTGATGAGGAAATCGGACTTCTGGACACCGCTGATACAATAAGACACATTATTGGTAAAATATAGTATCAAATTTATATATATATATATATATATATATATATATATATATATATATATATATATATATATATATATATATATATATATATATAAATGAATGTATGTTTGTTTTTTTATTATTTTCTGCTCCAGTTATCTGATGGCCATGAAAGTGTTGGGGAGTTATTGAGTACACTCAAGGGAAGAATTAGGTTAATAAGGGAAGAATTAGGTTAATAAGGGTAGAATTAGGTTAATAAGGAAAGAATTAGGTTAATAAGGGAAGAATTAGGTTAATAAGGGAAGAATTAGGTTAATAAGGGAAGAATTAGGTTAATAAGGGAAGAATTAGGTTAATAAGGGAAGAATTAGGTTAATAAGGGAAGAATTAGGTTAATAAGGGAAGAATTAGGTTAATAAGGGAAGAATTAGGTTAATAAGGGAAGAATTAGGTTAATAAATTCTTATAAAGTATCTTAGTGCCGAAGACCCGGTTGTATGCGTTTAGCACTTTTTTTACGATTACATATATCCTTTACATTCCGTAGACGACACAGGGGGATGTGTAAAACGGTGAAAACTATTAAAATTTCATGTTATTCTTCTTTACGACTACACTTATTGTTCTAGGAGAAAGTAATGAAGGCTAGGAGAAAGTAATGAAGGTTAAGTTACCTTTGTTTTTAGATCACACAAACGCGCGACAGGTAAGCAAGGTAATAATTTTAAATATACGCTTTTGTTAGTTATGTCTGTCTTATCTTTGTTCAATTAATTGTTACATTTCTGTTAGCAGATGGCCTAAAAGCGGATCAGGCCCCAACATTCGAACAGACCACTGGGAATGAAATTGGAAGAACTGCATCGCTGGAAAATGAAACAAGTGTGTCCTTCCTCTTATGCTATTTTTCAATTAAAGTATGATGCTTTTAAGTACAATAATTTAGGAATCGACAATGAATACTCAAAATATTTAATAAGAGGGTCTAATTTTTTATACACAAATCGCAGGTGATATCAACAAACAAGAAGAAGCAAATGTGCCTAGCCTAAAACAGGTACTTTTATTAGACGACTATACTTATGGGACGACGGATACTTTAAATCTTTGACGATATTTTTATTACATGATACATTTTACGATCTGGTTGTTAATTTTTAGAAATCTATTTTTGCAACTTTTTGTTAGCAAACGCCAATCAATATTGTTAATTAAATACTATAGTTATATTTTGCAGATGGAAAAAGATGATACATTAGATTTTCTTCTCATTGGAAAAACTGGTAACGGGAAGAGTAGAACAGGAAATACGATTCTTGGAGAGAAGGTCTTTAGGGTTGACTCAAATACAGAGTCCGTTACACGGGAAGTTGAAACAGGTGTCGTGAACTTTAACGGTCGTAAAATTTGTGTCGTGGACCAGCCTGGAGTGGGAGATACAGTCAGTATTGATGACGTTGGGAAAGCTGCTGAGATTGTTTTAGATAGTAATAAACATGCGTTCACCTTGAATACTCGAGGATATCACGCATTTCTTCTTATAGTGAGGTTTGGAGGAAGATATACTGAAGAAGACGTGGAGTGTGTTCGTATTCTGAAGCACATATTTGGACAGGATTTTTTAAAGAATTATGGCATTGTTATTGTTTCTTATGGGGACAATTTCAAAACGGAATCAGCAGAGAACAACAACTTCACATTTGAGGAATGGTGCCACAAACAAGATGGGCATTTTAAAATGTTGCTAGAAGAATGCTGTAACAGAGTTCTACTGTTTGACAATGTGACAAAAGATGAAACGATTCGATGTAAACAAGTACAGACACTGATTGATAAGGTGGACAAGCTGAAAATTGATGGACAACGTTACAGCTTTGACCAATTTAATGAACATAAACAATCAAGAGAATTGTTTTTAATCAAAGTTAAAGAACCGAAAATACGCGATGAGACTCTAAATAAATTAAAACTAATAAATGATGAGTTTAAGCAACTGTCACAAAACAAATCTTTGGATGACGAAAACATAAAAAAGCATATAACATTAATCGAGAAGGTTCACGCACTAGGAGCTTATATCAAATTGGAAGATAAGGAAAGCAATGTTTTTACCGATCTGCTTAGACATATTGATGCAATTCATAATTACATAAACGGAAGTGTTACAATCATAGTGGACTTAAAGCAACAAAAGGAAAAGATAGAAAAAGAAACAATAGAACGTGAGCAAGAAAAAAACAAATTCGAGGAAACTTTGCAAAAAATTGCTGAACATAAACATTCTGTTGATCAAAATTATGAACTTCAAAGAAATAATCTAGAAGCTGAATATGAAAAGAAAATAAAACTTGAAAATAACTATCAGAATAGGTCAAAACTGAAAGGGGAAGTTCAGAAACAGCTGTATGAATTAAAAACAATATATACAAAGGAAATGAATGACTTACGTGAAAAAGAAACCAAGGCAACAAAAGACAAACATGCATTGGGTCACTTTTTAAAAGAACTAGAAAACAAACAGAAAGATGTGTTAAAATCACATAAGGAATTACGTGAGAAACAGAAACAGCAGACCACTGAGACTATCAATGATTTGAAAAATTTAAAAGATCAGAACAGAAAGCTCCTGGAGCAAATTGATAAGACAGAAAAACATAAAATTGAAAGTTTCGAAGCGAAATTAAAACTTCTTAAAGAAAAGCTTGGTAAAGATCCAAAAAGTGTTACAGACGAGGAGAAGAAAAAGTTACAAAAAGAACTTGACCAGATGTACAGCGAGTACAATAAGTGGCTAAAAGTAAAAAACTGTGTTATATTGTAAACAACCAAAACAAACATTATTGTTCAAAATACATTAACAGATGTGGACCTATATAAAATCACAATATGTATGCGTTTGTGGGGTTTTAAACCCCCAGATGTATAATATATTTTGTGTTATGATAGACTTGCTTTAAATAATTAAATACAATTAAATTGTTGAAGAATGGTGTTTTAATTTGTACTGTTAAAATAAAGTTGTAACCATTGTAAACTGTGAGTGAATGTATTCGATCCTAACTTGATGGGTTCGACCCTGTATAGGATTCTATTTTTAATTTGTATAGTGCTTGTAAACTCTTTAAACACAAAAAAAAAATAATATTTAACTTCGTTAACATCATCTTTTGATTTAGGTAATTTTAGATTTTTAAAGTGATGTTTTAAAAATAAATATCATTTAGCAAATTTATTTTTTAACTGTCGACCTCCTTTTTATTATATACACGGATTTTTCTTTTTCTTTCCATTTTCCATTATATAACTAATTTTTTAGTACAAAGATTTTATTATTTTTATAATGTAACCACCCATCGTCTCAACTTGTAACCGTCCCCTTTTTAAATGTTACAACTGCAGATTTTTAAAACTTTTAGTAACATTGAAATTTATTTGTTACATTTAAAAAAATAATTGACAACATTATGTACATATAACGTTTGTTTCAGGATATATTCTATAGGTTAAAGTAAGAATAATAACAGAAAAAACAAACGCGTTTCAATTAATAATGCGCTAATTATGCTACCTTAAGCCATGCCAATATGCCTTACAACCCCAAGCTACGTAAAGTTAAACATGTGCTTGGATGGTGTTGTTGGGGTGAGCTCATATTTGTAATATGTTCATTCAATTGTTTTAAAGTGATTGTTCCATGATTATGTAACACAGATTCAATTAAGAAGGTGTTGGCTAGGTCGGTTTATTGACGCTTTGAATATTTTAATAACCAATAAAGCATTTAGAAAAAATCCCTGTAGTTGTATACTTTTGTTCTGTTCATATGTTCATCCCACCTCCTACACAATGTACTTCTCGTTTCTAACTATACCCACAGGATCAGTGGCGTAGCCAAGATCTTCTTATGGGAGGGAAGGGGCTTCAATTTTTTTCCGTCTTTATATTATGTATATACTAGCCGTCACGGCCAGGCCCTGCACTGGGCTTTGTGAAAAACGTTTTAGTAAAGGACCATGACTTGTGTGTTTATTAAGCAGCATATACCCTGCTTTGACCGGGTTTACGAAATACTTTACTTTTCTAATTAACCGTAACCACAACCAAACAAAAACAAAACATAAACATAAACACAAAAAGAAAAGCAAAGATAAACATAAACGAAAACGCAAACACTAACGGAAACATAAATACAAACGCAACACCAACACAACAAAAACACAAAATCAAAATAAACACAAAGCTAAACGCAAACAATGACGCAGAACGTGAACACAAACTTAAATGCAAACATAAAATCATAGTTCTATCAGTATAGCCCGGCGAGACAAACCGCACCCTGTCGGGGCACCGGCGGAACCACAGTAATCGACTAAAATATCCCATCTTATCCATAGTCTATCGCAATGTTTAAAACGAACTTAGGCCCCGTAGCGCTCATGGGAAGGCCCGGGGCGCCAAATAGCACCCTGTCGGGGCGCTAGAGGACGCCCTGGATTTGAATTAGTGTACGACTATAGTAACCCTATTATTTACAGCCTATCGTATTCTTTAAAAAGAACGTTTGCACCATAGCGCTCACATGATCGCACCTGCCTCATTGCACCATATCAATTAATGCTAATTAAATAATTACTTTTTCCTAAACCAAGGCAAACTAATAAAAAAAAAATATTTCAACGACGTAATGTTGTTGTTTTGTTTTTTTTGTAAAAAGAAGTAAAATAAATGTTTGTGATCTATCAAGGAAAATAATATGCAATAAAGAAAAAAGTGAAGTAATTTGTAGGCCTACACTTTTTAAATATTTGTGAAGGATTATACATAATTTTTTACTTTGTCTATTCCGCATGACTTAAATTAATATTATACGTTTGGGAAATGAAATTCGTTGACATAACCTTATATAATAATTTTTTAAATCATTAATTTAGATAATAAGCATATTACACTATGGCGATCAAGTCGAGTTTTTTTAACTTTATTTCTCTATTACCAAGGGTCGATAAATCCGTCCTCTGTCCGCTGTCACATAGGCTTTTAGTTTTGCCACTCAGCAAAACAAAAATTTCGTCCCCCCATATGAATATATATATATATATATATATATATATATATATATATATATATATATATATATATATATATATATATATATATATACATATATATATATATATATATATATATATATATATATATATATATATATATATATATATATATATATATATATATATATGGTGACAGGACAAATTATCTCAAGACAAATAATCTCAAGGACAAATGATCTCACGGACAAAAGATACCAGGACAAAATATATCAGGACAAGTGATATCATATCATGGACAAATAATCTCACACAAAATATCTCACAGTAAAATTTTAATAGTATTTACGATGATTTTAGTTGATTTGAACTTTCTTTATTGACTGTCAATATAGTTTTGTGTATTCTTCTTTACGCATAATAATTGTAAATAAAATGATTTTGTTAAAGCATCAAAAGAATTATCAAACTTAATTTTTGTGATTGCCTTTGATTTGAAAAAGTAAAAATTAAAACCAACGTACCCCTTTAGCCTGAAAGGTATAATAAATGATAATGTATAAACAAATAAAGTAACATTAATGTTCAAAACACGCTAAATATTTTTGAAAAAAGTGAAGGGTCTTCAGGTACGTTATGATCACACCTCTCCAATACTATGTGATCATGTATTGTGTGAACTCTAGCTCGACATGTTCGAACTTCACATTTCCAAATCTCTTTGCCTTCTGCTCTACGTATGGCTTTTATAAACATAAATTCACCAGAAACTAATATCCTTCATGGGGGGCGGTTGTCTTTCCCATAAGGCATGTCTCTGCCATCAAAGCGGGCGGGCACCTTGATACGAAAGTGTGTCTATATTTTTATTTCATCCCCTTTTATCTAGTTTCATCCACATGCCTTGTTAGGATTGTCTTATGTTTGTCAAGCCCACCTACTCTGTCTATCGGAAAAAAATCCTTAATCTTCGTATACTATATCAGTAATCTTAATTTTAAAATGTTTAGTGCAATATGACAAATTTATACGGTAATTATATCTCACAATTATTACATAGGCCTATAAACAATATTAAACATAGTAAACAAAACAATATGACAGTCGATAAAAAATATTTCAGATCAACTAATCATCCAATACACTATTAAAATTTTGCTGTGAGATATTTATTCTGAGATATTTAGTCTGAGATCAATTATCCATGGTATCATTTGTCCTGATATATTTTGTCCTGAGATCATTTGTCCTTGAGATAATTTGTCCTGAGATCATTTCTCTTAAGATCATTTGTCCGTGATATATTTTGTCTGAGATATTTTGTCTGAGATCATTTGTTCTGAGATCATTTGAAAAAATTTGAACCCCCTCCCCCATGAGACGATCTTGGCTACCCACTGTGCACGTGCATCAGCCACGGAGCAGTCGACAACGTATTAGTTACAGCAGTGGCGTAGGCAGGGGGGGGTTAGGGGGGGTCATAACCCCCCCCCCCCCCATAGACCCCTCGGTATATATAAAAAGTATGAGGGGGGGTGCAAATCGAAAGTTTGAGGGGGGGGTGCAAATCGAAAGTTTGAGGGGGGGGGGTGCAAATCGAAAGTTTGAGGGGGGGGGGGTGCAAATCGAAAGTTTGATGGGGGGGGGGGGTGCAAATCGAAAGTTTGTCCCCGGGTAAAAATTGGAACCCCCCCCTTGAGACGATCCTGGCTACGCCACTGAGTTACAGCATAATTTTATTTCACTACAGGACCCTAAATTTTGTGCATTATAATGCAACTTAGTTATCAAACATGGTTATAATCATTATCATTTTAATCAAGCAGTATGTAACTGGTAAACCACTGTAATTGATTATGTTTTTGGATTCATAACTTATTTGTAGAGTTTTGATTTCTTTTTTTACTATACTTTGTAATTTATATACTATGTAATTCGTATTGCTTTGTAATGTTACCACTATTTAATTTAAGCAATTTTGTAATTTACACAACTTTTGTTATTACATAAATAAATAAATAATACAGTTCATAAAAATATCATAATGTAATTAATGTCACTCGCGGTAGAGGGCTAGTCTGCTAACCCGAAGGTCTCGAGTTTGAATCCGCGTTCAAGTCAGTATAATGTCCTTGAGTCCACCCAGCTCAATTTGGTAACTAACTCACTATAGGGAAAGTAATGGCGTAAAGACCACATTTTCCTTCCACATGCCGAGGTCACAGAAACAGATAAGCTCTACTTTATCTGCCCCATTTTGTCTTGGGCACGAACGGGAAAAAAATATGTAAAATTTCTTATAATATGTAACTTATTTTTAAAATATTTTTATGTCACTGTAATTCGTGCTACATTAAAGTAGTTAGTGGTACCACGCAACAGACCTAAAATCTGTTCCAAAACCTTCGCCTCCTGTAGCACCAAATGTGACTCCAACAATTACCAGCGAGATACCTATAATAAAATTGGATAATGAGATACAGTTGTTTTTAGAATTTAGTAAGTTATTCTACAAAACTCCTCATTATTAACATGCTAAACTCTAGGTGACTATTTTTTTTTTTCATCTGGCTATGTTAACAATTCAAAAGTGCACAAATCACACAAATCTCACACATATATACACACAAAACTTACACTAAAAGCACATGTTTGCTAATTATTAATGGAAAAAATATGTATTATAATATATATTTTTTCTTTGCATTCATACCGTATCCTAAAAAGAACAAGTATTTCTGCACCCGTTGTTGCGGAAAAACCAAGACCACGGCTTTAAGCACTTCAATGCCCTCAATAAGCGCCATCATAAATGAGGCTAGGAACCAGTACTGAGTGAAGGCAGCTACAACTGAACACAACACCTGCAGGAAAGGAACAACTAAAGCAAATGACGGACGAGAGTATTCTCATGGGTAAAGAAAACTGCCAAGTATAGGGTGTACTAAACTTGTTGGTATATGTGTCGAAATGTGTGGGAATATGTGTATGATTACATAAGTGTATTTATCCACATTTTTGTACACCCAATGACACACATTTTAGGATGTTTAAACTTTTGTAGATATTTATGTAGTTGTTGAATCTATGTATATTATTTATATGCAAATGTGCTTTTGATAGGATTCGAATATTGTTAGAAATTATTAAAATGTATGTTGAAAAAGTATGATAATTCTCACCCGATTTTCTATGAATTTGATGCCTACAATGAAGAAACTGTACCCGATGATGAGACATAGGCATTGATTCATCAAGATAATTTTGTGACTTCCCTTCAATTTCCTGGTTAAAATTAGCTTAATTATTCAAGTGCAAAACAAAAACTATATGTTGTCTATGAAAAAAAAATGTAACGGATTTAGAACTTTCACCTATGTAGAAACTTAGTGCATGCGCACCAGGTTAGTTATGTATATGCTGTTGTAGATGTTGGTAAATAGTAAATATCCATCACGGTGTCTCTGCGTCTCATTCTCCACACTAGACTTTTGGAAACCACTGTTATATACACCATAGGCAACTGTTCTCTCTCCTCGACCACTGTTACATACACCATAGGCAACAGTACTGTCTCTAGGAGACCACTGTTACAGTGGCATTTAGGCTCTTGGCCTTGGAATGTGGCAGTAGGGTAAAGTCCGAGGTTTTTGTACATGTATCATAGAGACACTAACATCCAGCATTTAACCTTCTCTCTTGTTAGACAGTACAGGTGCAGTAAGGTATTTTAAATATTCTAGTGCTCCGGAACAAGATTCTATTCTATTTTTAAAAAGTTTAAGTAATTAAAAATGGATTAAAAGTCATGTCTATATCCCGAGTTGCCATCCCCCATAAAGTGTTATATAAAAATATTCGAGAAAGCTTAGGGGAGATCACTCCCGGTTTATTTACACTATATTTTAAACTCCGCTAGTAAATACTTAATCCACTTTTATGAAACATGACGTGCTTACTTCCAAAGAATCAGATATATCAGGCAGGTAGAAACTAGACATGCAATGGATACACCACATCCAGATTCTGTGACAATGGTCATGGTAGGGTTATCAAAGTTCTGAAATAAAATGTGCAATATTGATATTTTATTAACTTCGTTTACTTTTTATGTTACTCTTTATTTTAAACACTCACATACTGGCCTTAATATTTTTACAACAGTAAATTGTAAATAATTATTACAATTTGTTTTAATTAAAACACAATGAAGACATTTATTCCTGAATTATTTTTTCGGAATTATTATTTTATTATACAGTTTGTGTTGTTACTTGGAATTATAAATTGCTTTCAATTGCTAGTTATTGATATAATTATAAGACGATTAAGAAGATTATTTTAAAATTTTCACTTTGTTATGAAATGCTAAAAAAATTAAAACCTTACAGCATTGTAAGGTGCCATCAGCACGCCGAAATGTGTCATATGGTTGCAGACACAAGTAACATGAGAACTATTGAAATGACGCACAGAGCATCCCTTGCCTGACCATAAGGGTTGTTGGTCCCTGTTGAAAGTTACAGTTTAAATAAAATATATACATTTGCAGGCACTGAATTTTTACAGGTTTATAAATGTTCAAAACAAAGTTTAGTGATATAGTATATCCATTTATTAGTTCTAAATTAATAGAGTTGTCGCTCTTAGATTGATTAAAGTATACACAACGTCTTAACTGGAGTATGAAAAGTATAATATAGATAGTAAACAATAAAAAAAAAAACTTTTACCCGTGTGGCTCTACTAAGTACACACACGTGGGTGAGTTAGACGATATCTGAAAACAAATGAGCATATTGTTGCCATTTCAAAGGCATCGGTTTTATGTTACTTAAAATCGATAATTCTAGAAAATAATACGAATCAAATATAATATTATGGTTAACGTAAACTGGCAAAAAAAAATCTAGAAACGTTTTCTATTGCAATAAAGTTACCTCCTTTATGGCAAACGTTATTTCAAGTGTAAAATCTGATATCATTTTGTGCACAGCTATCGCCAGAATATCTGAATGCAGCGCGTTGCTATGTTGATTCTTTAAAAGGTTTCTGTAAATGATTGATTGTATAGTTATGTCATGGTTTTTCTTTAAACTAAAAAAAATCACCAAGAAAAAATAATTTTAAAAAATACTTTAAGCATGTTTTCAAATTTTGTACTAAAACTATTTTGTATCTCAGAAATACTTTAAAACATCATTAAAGAGTAGAAATGGCAAATATTCGTTTTACTTCCTAGATTCCAAAAGTGCAGATTATGTAAATTATATCAATTTATGTGATCATATATATTTAATCAAGTAATAAATAGCGATTTATTTTTACTTGCTATCCAGTGTAAAGGCATCATCTTGGTGGTACACTATGACTGCGAATTTTATTAATCCTGAAATATAAAAATTGTGGTTTTTTTATATCTATAGCACTTGGTATATTGGTTTATTATTTAGTTTATATTGTGCTCGACGTAACTGGGTGGTGACCAAGAGCATGTCATAAACTAAAAAATGTGTTTTATTATTTCGGTAGACTTCTAGTGTATAGTTATTAGCTCCACGAAATAACAAATACAAATTATCTCATCAGAATACTTTGGGATAAAAGATGTACAAAAACGATTTTATCCCTGTAAAAACCTCTTTGCCTTTTACAAATCACAAATTAAATTCTTAATGCTTACAATACCTTTTGATCTTCTTAGATTCAGAAATATCTGATTCTGTTCTTTTTGGGGCCATAGATTCATGTTAGAATCCGTTTTCTTCGGGTATGTGATGTTTCCATTAGTAGCAAAGATGCCAACAGCTGTATAATTTAATAGAATAATCTTTATTAATGTAGTAATAAATCAAAACAGTGAATTTAGTGTTTTTGTGGTTTTGTCCGTGTTGAAAGTCAGATTTAAATTTAAATTGACAATCAAAAGTTGAACAATTATTGACTGTGTATTTAAGAAATAAAAACAAAAATATCTTTTAAATTAAATATAATTCTTTTCAATTTAATAAAATTACGTTTTACACTATCAATAAAGCATGAATGATCTCCCAAAATCGTTCTCGTATATTCTTATATAGCAGTAGCGGATATTACTTCCAATGCTACAGAAATGGTTTATTTATTTATTTTTAATACTTAAGTGCTGGTTAAACCCCTAAAATTGAAATTAGTAATTTAGGACGATTTTAAGTGATAAAGAAGTTGTAAATAACAAACAAATTGAAATTAAAAAAAGAAAATGCTAAAAAATAATTATCCATCAGATAAATTGTGTATTATTCAGAATCGCATGTAATTTTAGCCTAGTTTAGTGTACATCTTCACAGACATTTTAGACTCCATAAATTAGAAAATAATCGTGAAACTTTAAATCTGCCTTAAAACTAAGGAGTAGATATAGCCATTTATCTAGCAAAAATCAAAATTAAAAATTAATCATGTAGTCTACATATATAAGCATTGTTTAGTGAACGTATGTGTACAATTTGAATGAAATGTCTCTAGTAGTTTTTGAGATAAATGTTTCTAACATGTACTATTTTGATAAAAAATGTCCGAATGGGGAAAAAATAATTGTGAAAATATAATTTTTAATAAAAGAAACGGGAAATATTGGAAACAAAAAATAAAATAACTTTTTAAACCTCTGAGTGATACAAGTGGCATCTGGGCTTAACGTTATGAGTATTTTGAGGAAGGGGAAGCAATTAATTTTATAAACAGTATAGATGTGCGTATAAAAAAAAAATCTTGCGCACCAAATGAACCCAAACAGTCTCAGTACAATAGAGTGGAAAATTAATACTTACTAAAGGAAACATCGAAACTCTCTTTCTCTCTCTCACACACACACAATCACCTTCACCCACATGCACACACCCACACACGCACAACCCTCCTTCCACACAAACACACACTCGCACACTCAAACACAGGGGCTTGCAAAACTGATATTTTGCTGAAGGTTATAAAACGGCCAAATTTGTCATATCTTCGATAAAAGATTTTTTAAATTACATTACATCCTTTATATTCCGTATACGATAAAGTAGGGAGTTGTAAAACGGCGAAAACTGTCATATTCTGGATTAAAATTTTATAGAGATACATTACATCATTTATATACCGTATAAAATAGGGAGTTTTCAAACGGCTAAAACTGTAAAAATTTCATTTAATTTTTGTCCAAGATTACAATACTTTCTCTACCCTCTATTTACGAGAAAATTAAAAATGAAAACAATGCTTAATTACTCATTTTGCTGTAGAATTTCATGGCATCAGTTCCAGAAAATACTTTCAGGCTTGCCACTGCTATTTTCTCGAAGGAGAAAAATATAGCGGGCAAAAATTTTTGACGTTCCTGTTGTTGCTCGATCATTCCTGATTTAACAGCTAACAGAGTGTCAGAAATTCTGGCAAAGTTCTAAAAAGAAATTTTATTAAAAAGATTTAACTCTAAGATCAAAGTTCAATTTATATATAATTAACAAATATTATAGGTCAAGTACGAAAAATAGCTTACATTATTATTGATTATACAGGAGGATTGTGTAAAGTAAAACAAAAATAACACAAAGACTATGTGTTTTACAACCTCAAGAGCAGTGCTGTCTACAGATAGGTCAAGCTCTTCCACTCTAGAAGCCACGAATGTAAACAGTTCCAACACCTCCACCAGGTCTGTAACATTGCCAGTCAAATTCGGGTATTTGATGCCAGCCAGGAGATCGAAGGAAATGTTAGACACTAGCTGGTTCATCTCCCTTTGTCCTAATGTTGTATCATTCAGGAACTGTACCTAAAATTATGTGTTAAAAATGTAAGCCATCTCGATGTCATGCTACTTATTGTTTTGTAAACCTACCTTTCATATATGAATATATATATATATATATATATACAGACATTAGTAAGTTAGGGAGTTCGACGTTGTAACTTTGCGAAGTGAGGCAGATAAGTTCTCTAAAGGAAAAATCAATGGGAAGTATACAAGCTATAAGATGAAATACTTGGCAACCTTGTCTGATATAGATATTTGGCACTTTTATACTTCGTTACATATATGTATTATAGAAAACCTTCCTAACTTACGCGATCCTGATATTATATAGCTTTTTATAGCTTTGCGACATTAAAAAAATGTAAAAAAAAAAAAAAAAAAAAAAAAATTGTAAACATTACGCTCAGTTTTGATTAAAGAACGTTGTACTTAAAATAATGATGGCGTGGATAAGGGTGATTTGTGCACGTAATGCGATAAGTATGCAAGTGGGTGCGAAAAGCCACGTAGTTGTGTGCTTTTATTATAAAATTAACTGTATTAAATTTCCGTAAGTCTAAAACATAAAGTAAAAAAAATTGTAAAAAAGTTGTAAACATTGCATAGGGCCTACAAAGTTGACTGAAGAATGTGTGTACTTAAAATGTATGTGGTGTGGGTAGGGGTGAGTTGTGCACATATTGCGATAAGTATGCGGGGGGGGGGGGGGTGAGGGAAAAGTCACGTAGTTGTGTGTAGTTATTATAATCTTTTTGTATTAAATTATTTCGATATGTCTATTACATGAAGGTTAGATAAATGCGATAAGCATGCGTGGGGGTGTGGGAAAGTCTGGAAGGCGTGCGTATTTAACTGTATTAAATTATTTCCGTATATATAAAACGTAAAAAGTTTAAAGGAACCCACACAAATTGAAGTTTCACGCTTAAAATATAGATCGATATTGTAGTATCTAAAATAGTATGTTTGATAATATAGGTACCACTGATACTTGTTTCCATACAATTTGTTTGAGCACATGGTAATGCCTATTTATACATCTGGAGGTTATTTGTTTTACATAGGGATAAAAAGTTATGTCATATTCATGCGTGGTTAAAGGGGATGGGATGAAGAACGATGATAGTTTGGACGTTTATCGCAATATATGCATACTTTAGGTGGGGTGACTTTGGGGTTAACGTCATTGGGTGATATTTAAAAATGTAGAATTTTAATATAATCTACACAAAAGACCGCTTCTATACACATGCGGCTATATTTTTTTCAAAATCTATTTAAAGCTTTACTTACCAAAAGGGTGTAGAAATCAATACGGGCCATTTTATCCTCTTGTATCCCGAGGTAATTAAAACAGATGTAGTATTTAGTATGTCCTATGTGTCTTAAACACATACACAAACGGAAAAGATGATGATGAGTGAGAATAATTTTAATTCATGTACTTAGAACACTAACACTGAACACAACATTGAAAGAAATAGCCAAGATGCGTAACTTAGTATGCCCCATGTGTCTTGAACACGAACGGAAAAGATGACCAGTCCGAATAATATTCCTTTAGAGCACTAAAAATCATCACAGCAATAATATAAATGATGACGGAAGGTATTCGGAAAACAGGGTTCATCATTTATAGTCACGTGCTATACAATATTTTTAGTATTGGTCACTATAAAATAGCCAATCTTTAAACCGAAACCACGATTGGTGATATTTATAACCAATGAATAGTTCGTTTTTTCTTGATATGGGTGGAGCTTAATTTCTGACCGACACACATGGCAGAATTATTTCCCCATGTTCGCAAAAACTACCCACGCGTCAAGATCGTTCGCCACCATTTCAGCTTAGCACCTTTTCCCCCGCCCCTATTCGCACATTGTTGGATCAACGTAGCCCGGAGAATTTTGCTAGACGTCTGTCTGGACATTACCTAACATTCGTCGGACTCGCTTGCCTATTGAATCTTGAGTTCAAGGACAGATTATGTAATAAATAGGCCAGAAAACATGGCTAAGCACATATTTAATTATAAAAAATCTACGCAAAGGCTAACGGCATGACTAGATACACACTGGCCAATTTAGTGCGCGAAATAATTTTATTTCCGTCTGCAGGCCAATAGGTTTTCAAAAATACCATACGATTTATTAAAAACATATGTATTTAAAAATCTTAATAAATCATAGGGCCTAACTTAATTAAAATCAATCACGCTTACTTACCCTGCCAGTATGTAAAAACAAAATACATGGGGGGGGGGGGGGGGGGGGGGGGGAAGGGGTGTTGCGAAACATTTTATACCAGCTTACAGCGGTTTTAATTTTTCTTTTATTCCAATGGATAATACCACCCCCCCCCCCATATCACCAAACCGCATGGTTTTTCTAAATGCGACTAGGCTATTGTGTTTAATGTTAATCTAACTATGCTGGCGGTCCACCTTTGGAGGGTGGGGGGGGGGTATCGTCCTTAACCTCCTACTGATAATGTTTCAAAGCCCAAATAATTTGAAAATACATACAGCCGCTGCTAAGTAATATTTTGATTTAATTGGTCATAATTTTAAAAATTATGGATGTCAATTAGTGTGATT